CCTCTAGTCCTCTCCTGCTGATGTTCAGGTGTATATCAGTATGTAGTGTCTCTACTTTAAAGAGTCCTCTCCTGCTGATGTTCAGGTGTATATCAGTATGTAGTGTCTCTACTTTAAAGAGTCCTCTCCTGCTGATGTCCAGGTGTATATCAGTATGTAGTGTCTCTACTTTAAAGAGTCCTCTCCTGCTGATGTTCAGGTGTATATCAGTATGTAGTGTCTCTACTTTAAAGAGTCCTCTCCTGCTGATGTTCAGGTGTATATCAGTATGTAGTGTCTCTACTTTAAAGAGTCCTCTCCTGCTGATGTTCAGGTGTATATCAGTATGTAGTGTCTCTACTTTAAAGAGTCCTCTCCTGCTGATGTTCAGGTGTATATCAGTATATATTTTTTAGGAAACAGCTTTAAAAAAACAAAACACATCAAATGTATTTATTGATCAAAGGAAAACTGATGAGCTCGGAGCTAGCCAGTAGGATTTATTAATAATGGTTTTGTTATTTATATGACGTTTGTTGACAATAGAAAAATATGCAAAAAATCCCCAAATATCCAACCATCTGGTCCGGCCTGAAAACATAATTCTCCAGCTCTGAAAAATCAGAATGAGATAAACAGTAATACCTGCAGTGACCGTATGGAGTGAGACGGACAAACAGGGTTCCCCGTGAAGCTTTTCAAAACAGATTCACAAACGAGCGAGCGGACGTCCCTCCCAGTTCGTGATCAGACGGAATAATGTTTCCCAGTCTCTCAGTTTAAGTTCAGTCTGTGTGTGTTTTTGTTTCAGGATTCCCGCTCCAGCTGCAGGACCTCGTCTCGTAGGGTTTCCACTCGGGACAGTTTCTCCTTCTGGTCCTTGGTCACCTCGTCTATTTCTCCCGAGTCCACTTTCTGCTGCAGGTCCTCCGCCTGACGCAGTTTCTTCTTCAGGTTTTTCAGCTTCTTCGCCCTCTCTGCCGCTGAGGCGCTGCTGTCGTCGGGCGGATTAGGAGGATTAGATTTAGACGTCTTCTCGTTAGCGTCCTCTGAGATGGAGACGTTTTCCACGGCGTCGCTCACAGAATCCACGTCTCCGTCTTCCTGCTGTTGTTTTCGTTTTTCTTTGCGCTTCATGTTGCGTTTCGCCGCCTTGGAGAGACCCGCGGTGTCGCTGTCGCCCGCGGGTTTCTGCTGCTGAGACTCAGGCGCACTCATCCCCGGAGGAAGGTCGGATTTAACCTTGAAGAACTTCACAAACTTGTTTTCATAGCTGCAGGAAACAGAAACGCAGGGTCAGACACTGAGGAGGGCTGTCTCAAAGCACGAGAGTCCTTTCTAATGAACATCAGCAACCTTTTATTGACCCGAGTATCTTCTCTGGTGGCAAACTGCTGAATTTTTAGGAAAAATCTGATTTTTTTTCCGGAAAAATT